TTTGAAAATACAACAAATACAACTATTCCTAAAAGAGAGACCAGAGGATACAGTACAAAAGCCAGGCTACATCTACATCTGTGAGAACTCAGCACCTCAGAAAGGGGGTAAGATACAAGCAGCGGCCCGGCAGGACCAGAGTGCTCTCCCCACCCCAGCTCCCTGGCAGGAAGAAAGGAGTCAGAGGGGGGAGGGAGAGGGAGCCCAGGACTGCTAAATAACCAGCTCTAGTAATCCGCACTGGGAATGCAGACACACAGTGCGTGGTGTGCTGGATATTAGAGAAACAGAAAAGTAAAACCTGCGAGCAGGTCCCCGCGGTTGGTTTCCCTGGGACAAAATAAAAGCGAGTGCTTTCTGAAAGTCTTAAAGGGACAGGGACCTTACAGCTGGATGGCAGCGTCCCAGCACACTTAGCCCAGCAGCTGGGAATCCTGGGGAACTTCAGGCACCCAAGCCCCCTGGGAGGCAATGCAGCCCTGAGGCCCCCCATGGCAATAAGCAGCCTGCCAGTTGTTCCCCCTCCAGTGAGGCCATGCCGCAGTGGCGGAGCAGCTGGGGAGCAGCTGCGCACCTGCTTGCAGCGGCAGAGCAGCCGGGGAGTGGCCGTGTCCACAGCAACCAACCAGAATCTCCTCACAGTGCACAGCCACCCGGGTCAGACCCAGAGGCCACTGACGATGTGCAACTGCCTGACACAGGCAGAGGAAACTGGGGCAAAGAACAAAGGGGTGCCATTCTCGCAGAGAGCACACCTGGTGCACCTACCACTCCTCGCAGGGCTCTGGGATACCCTGACTATGATCCCGCCCAGAGCAGCTTAGAAGATTAATCCACAGGCTGCTCCACGAGTGCAGATAACTGCCACAGGCAGCGGAGAAGGGCAAGGTGACCAGGAAGGGACTTTGTTCTCCCAGCTGACACATATACTACCTCCCTACAACTACCTCTATCACCATGAAAAGGTAGAAGAATTTGGTCCAGTCCAGAATTATGAAGACAACCCCCAAGAGAGGGCCTGGGTAGATAGATTTAACCAATCTTCCTGAAAAAGAATTCAAAGTAAAGGTCATAACCATGCTGATGGACCTGCAGAGAAATATGCAAGAGCTAAAGGATCAAGTTGGGAGGGAGAATAAAGAAATAAAACAATCTCTGGAAGGATTTAAGAGCAGAATGGATGAGGTACAAGAGGTGGTTAATGGAATAGAAATCAGAGAACAGGAATACAGAGAAGCTGAGGCAGAGAGAGATAAAAGGATCACCAGGAAGGAAAGAATATTAAGAGAACTGTGTGACCAATCCAAATGGAAAATATTCACATTATAGGAGTACCAGAAGAAGAAGAGAGAAACAAAGGGATAGAAAGTGTCTTTGAAGAAATAATTGCTGAAAACTTTCCCAAACTGGGGGAGGAAATAGTCTCTCAGACCATGGAAGCCCACTGAACTCCCAACACAAGGGACCCAAGGAGGACAACACCAAGACATATAATAATTAAAATGGCAAAGATCAAAGACAAGGACAGAGTATTAAAGGCATCCAGAGAGAGAAAAAAGGTCACCTACAAAGGAAAAACCATCAGGCTATCATCAGACTTCTCAACAGAAACTCTACAGGGCAGAAGAGAATGGCATGATATATTTAATGCAATGAAACAGAAGGGCCTTGAACCAAGAATACTATATCCAGCACAATTATCATTTAAATATGAAGGAGGGATTAAACAATTCCCAGACAAGCAAAAGTTGAGGGAATTTGCCTCCCACAAACCACCTCTACAGGGTATTCTAGAGGGACTATTCTAGACAGGAGCACTCCTAAGACTAAACAGATGCCACCAGAGAAAATAA